CAGGGTGGATACATTCCTGAAAAAGTAACAGCTTAACAGTTATTGTAAATGAAAATGGTTTTGAAAAGAATTTGAGTTATCCAACTTTCTTTTTTAAAAAACAAACAGTTTTAGAAAAGTGTACATTTTTAACAGCCAATAAAAATGACAATTATGAGAATAATAAAAATCTTTGCATAAGCTTTATATAAAAAAAAAACTTTCCTTATAATCATGGAGATAACAATTCTACAACATTGTTAAACATTTATTTCTTTTTGTTAATTTTTGTTTTGCATATTTTTACTACAAAAAGTTGTATTAAGTATAAAACAATTGTTCTTGTGGACACAATCTAACTTCTATAGATGGGCATATTTGTTTTTTGTTTAAAAGAAGATGCACAACAGGACTGACTGTGCTAAGTGAACAGAATGAGTATGACAAAAAAGATTAGCAGCTGTAACAACTGGTTCAACAAGTTAGGAAAATGTACAACAATACTGTAAGATAAATCTAAATCGGGATGAATGCATTAATTTTATTTTATTTTTTTTTGTAAAATTACGATGATTGGTCTGCAGTCTTAACATAATGGCCAACTCAACCCTAACCAAAGGTTACGCATGACTTAATAAGGAACAATGAAAATAAATATAAAATAATATCAAATGCCACCTCTATTAGTTGCCTTAAAACAAAATAAAATGAGATCTGTAACTATTCTTAACTAGCTGGAAGTGAGGTTTGAAACACAGAAACCAGTATGAAATACTGAAGTACATGTTGTTTGCAAAGAACATATATAGATTTATTTTAAGAAATGCTTTTTTAATAACAAAATAAGCAACAGTGATTAGTAACAATATAATATAAACTTGCTTTAGCTGAAATCAATTCCTCATCACACTGCGGAGATCTGGTTGCAAGAAGTTCTGACGAAGCTATCCAAGTTTCACAGCTGAAATAATTCCACCTGGCTCCTGTTTGGCTGACAGTCCCACAGAAATAATGGCTGGCAAATCCAGAGAAGATCTTCCTTTCCTATACCTTGCACAAACACCTTATCAATTCCCTCCCCATACTGCTATACTCCTATACTAAAGTAGCAACTTGAGAACATGTAGTCAGGTTTCTCAACAATAGCTGAAAACGTTTACAATTTTTTGCACATCAAAGAATTCACTAGAATAATCATTTTTTTTCCAATACATCCTTTACTTTGGTAAGGGATGTAATTGAATAAAAATCTGAAAAATAAATTAGACTTGTCACATAGAAATAGTTTCTTAGTATTCCTGAGTACATATCAAAATCACATACTGGACTAGATCAAGCTTTCAACACAGTAATCAAGAGTTCCCTCCACTTTAAAACAATTAAATCAGTGGTTCTCAAATTTTGACCTTAATCTTCTTCCAGTGCCTTAGCTTCACTACACAAATTTGCATCAATTTGTCTTACCGCACCTCATTGGTTTGTAGTCGACTAACACCAATTAAGAACCACTGCCACAATCATGCTTTCATTTGCCGTAACCTAACCAATTTTTTTCCCCCCATACAAATGTTTTATGTTAAGGATTCAAACAATGAAACTGTTTTAGAGTTAAAGCAAGCACACACAGAACATAAGTTACCTCCTGTCTAGAAACAATGATTAAAGTTACTACAGAGTAATGGAAAGAGAAAAAAAAACAACTTGAGTACATTTCATTAAATATCAATTCAATACAATAAATAAATAAAAGAGCATTTCAAGAGTTTGTTTAAAAAAAAAAATCTTACATTTATGTTAAATAAAAAATCAACATGTTTCAAATTAGAAAATATGATAATTTTGTTTTTCACAACATCTATCCTTGAAAACTTCAAAACAATTTTTCTAACCAGTCAAAACCTATGTACAGTCATTCAATGACACCGACATGCAATTTTAAGTGTTTTAGTATTTCAGAGTCCCTTGTTTAGAAAATAAAAACAGCTAACATCAACTTGTGAGATACAGATTTCAGAAATTCTTTTTTTTTTTTTGCATCACTGACATTTAAAGTATTTTTTTTTCTTTACAAAATAATTACTTAACATCAGGGGGGATAACTTGAACTTGCATAATATTAAAAAAAAAAGTTTTCTTTAAAATATATCAAAGATTTCATGGTGGTCTGGAGAAAATGAGTTTGTCAACAGAGAACAACAAGACAAAATTAAAACATGTATTTGATAAAAGCATCATATATATTAGTTGGCACCGTTTCAAATAATATGTCATGGCTGGAAGCAGCCACTGGATGGGTAAAAACTTCTTTGTCCAACAAGGTAGTAACTAAGAAACAGTACGTGTGCGCATATCAGTTCATTAAATTTCATGCAATGGCCAAGTAGGATTATACGGTGTTTTGTGCTCATTAACTTTATTTTTAACAAAAAATAATAATTAACCTACATGTTTTTTTTTTTAAATTTAAATTTTTAACAAAAATCAATTTAATAAATGTTTTAAATAAAAGCTTATTAATAGGTAGGAAGTTTAAAACAAATGCCATTTTTTGAGCAGAACTTAATTTTGATAAGCAAGCTAGTTTTTTGTTTAAGCTAGTTTTGATCCCCAAGTTCCAGGTCACATTTTCTCTCAGAGGTTTCAAAAAAAAAAGTTGCATAATCTTAAAAGGTCATTACGCTGAACATTCTTGTAACATAAGTCACAATAGGTCATGACTTTAAAAAAAATTGCTTGTGGTAGCGTGGCTTGGCAAAACAAAGCCACGTGAATATGGGCAATTTGATATTGGGTGTATATTATAATAACAAAAAACTAAGAATGGATTCAACAAATATAGTTAAGGTAACACATGAGCAATGAAAAATGTTTGTTATATGTAATAGCTTTTTAAAAATTTCATTGTATCAAAACAACTAATCACCCCCGCCCTTTGCTCTTCCATAAACATACAAAGCCGGTAACATATAATAGCACTATAGAAGTATCAAAAGCATGCACTAACTTACCATAACAATTTCTCTACAACACATAACAAGAGGATTTATTTTTAAAGAGTGATTCACAGTTATAGTGCATATAACCAAGAAGGAAAAGTATATTAAAATCATCTCCATAAAACAAAAAAAAACATGTTATAGGCATCGGTACATAAAAATACATGGAATCGCATCGTTAACAAACCTGAATAAGATCATAGTGGACTCGTGAGATGAGAGGAAAAAAATCTACAAAACTGGCATGCTGTGCAAAGGATGAAACAGGTAATTGACAACAGCAGCAGTAGCATAAACAACATCAACTGGTAACAATACCAAAATATCAATTGTACACATCAGAGGAAAAAAAAATTGATTAACAATACCAAAAATATCAATTTTACACATCTGAAAAAAAAAAATAATTAAAATTCTCTCCATCGCGAATGGTAAAAACAGTGTAAAGATAATCATTGTAGAAAAGTAAGAAAAAAAAATGTGTTTAAAAATTTATCCAAGCATTGTGTTTTCAACACAAAATTGGGGACAAAGAAATTAGGAAAAGAAATTAAAAATTAAAGCCTACAGCTAATTAGTAAATAAAAATTTGTATTACAAATCCTCACATATTTGTATAAATGAATTCAACTATCATGAGCATTTTAAGGTAAATAGAGTAATATTTCAAACAAAATTATTTCAGTTTTTTGTATGAGAGGTACGATACAGCTATAATTTAAAGTGCTACTTACTGTTCAGTGAAATGATTTGTGTTTTAATTATTGACAGCAGGAATTTGCTCAGAGGAAAGCAAGGAAACAGGCACTTTTTGTTTTCGGAATGATTCCATTGATGACTAAACAATATGAAGCCACTGATTTGATACACTTTTTAGTTTAAAAACTAGATGATCTATTTCAACCCCGTTAGTCAACTTGAGGTTTAGTTAGAGCGAGCTGTGTTAAATGCAAATAAGCCTGTTGATGATTTCAGCCAAATGGATTTTCTTTTCTGCTGCGCTAAACACAACCTAACAGGTATATCAAATTAAAATCTTGGGGGAGAAAAACTATTCAAAGTGAGCATGGCATATCTGTAATGCAAGAATAAGGCAGAGAAAAGCTGAACCAACATGGATGTAGCAGTTGCCTCTCATTGTTAACTAGTAAAAAATAATTTTTTACTGCTAGCAATGGCCTTTTACTTTTAAAAAACGTTGTATAAGGTTGAAAGTTCTTTTTTTAAAAAAAAATGGACAGGCAATGCTTTTAGTTAACAAGCAACAATGACTGGAAGAGCTTAAGTTTCAACTCATGTGAGAAAAATGAATGTTTGGAATTTAGTGCGCTAGACAATGACTCTAAAACAGTATGAAATACAGAGGAAACAGCTTTGTTAGAAAAAAAAATTAAATAATTACTATTTGAACATGGCGAATATATTGCATTGCATATTTCTTTTTTTTTAGATTTAAAAAGAATATTGCTGAACTGAGGAATTACATATGAAAACACTTAGACAAATGGCACATAATACATGTAGTAGCCTAGTTTTATGGAAGTGGATTTAGTGCAGTGTACGTGCAACAAACTTGCTCACCAACAGACCCCATATCAAAAGAGCACCCATCTGCTAAATCACATTTCATAAAAGCAGGCTCATAAAGCCAAAATAAATATATCTGTGGAATCAATTCACATATACACCTTGGTGAGGTACTCTTAAAAATTTTATCAGAATTTTTTTTTTTAACTTCTTAAAAATAAATAAAAATAAATAAATATTAGTGACTTGTTTTCTATTTTGGAGATGAGGTTAATTAATAATATTACAGCACTTTCATGAATAAATAAGATCATCACACTTTTTGACAAGAATGAAAGAATGACAAACATTATTTAAATATATATACATAAACATAGACAAAAATATCCTCATAATGTGACTTATTATGCATTTGTTCTTTATCTTAAAGCATTCATTTAACTACATCTATGCAAAAAAAAAAAAGAAAAAAAAACAATGATTGTATGTAAGCTGTATCAACCGACTAAAGATAAAAAATAAATTAAACATTGATATCTAAAACACTCTATACTGGTACATAGACATCTTACAAGAAAATGCAGAACATACCAAACTTAAGAAGTGAATTATACAAGTCACTTAATTTTAATTACTGATCCATCAAGTACTGTGAAAGGTTGTAAGGGGAAAGTTAACATTTACCATCAAAGCACAGATGATAGACCAGCTTACAAACATACATGAAGTGATAACAATGAGTTAGTAGATAACTAATGGCCTCTTAAAAATATATCAATTCACAATATCAAATAACACAGATATTTAACTCAAAAAATAAGATTTAACATTTGATATTAACAAATGAACTGTTGCACCTTTTGGGATTATTGTTAAAAATCTGTTTTGTTAAATTCAGCTAGAAATATAAAAAATTGTTAGTAAACAGATTAGTGTTCTACAAGAAAAATTCTTTAAGTATTTTTAAAAAACTTAAACGTGTACATTTTTACGCCGTGTTGTTATTCCAAAATGAAATAAGAAATCATCTTTATAAAAACAAAAAATCTTTACAACAAAATGTTTGATATCTACTCTGCGAGAATGAAAAGTAAATCAACTGTAGCTGAACAAATAAAGATCAACTCAGACTTGATCAATGATATCCTGAAGCAGCAACAGTTCAATTTGTGGAAAAGACCTGGTAGGTTCTGATAAGCATTGTAAAAGAAGTGCGCAAAATTGCTTTCATAAAATAATAACACTGAACTTACAACTAATTAAAAATTTGTGGCAAATCAAGGTAGGTTATAAATTTTAAAATAAAGGATTACCCAATATAAACATTTTTGTCGATCTTTTTTTTTAACACATAAAAATTAATGTTTTATGATTTTAAACAACATTTTGGCATTTTATATTATTAATTTTTGTTTAAAAATTATAAGACTTTTATAAAATGTGTATAGGTTAATGTAGTTAATTAGTTCACCAACCACGGTCAGATGTTTATCACGGAAGGTAAGATGGATGTAACAAGGGAGAGAAATTCATGATGATTTCCTGTGGAGTTATCACTGAAAATGAGGTATAAGAATATCAACAAAAGTGATTCTATTTATAAAAAAACTATTTCAACAAATCCATGTTTCTCTATACTTATTTAACACCTCCTACCCTGAAATTTATAGGTTTTAAAAAACATTCTGTTGTCTCTTGTAACCGTTCAACAAATTAGATTTTTTGTAACACAACCGATTTACATTTTTTACATTTAACATAAACAAGAAAAAAATAGTTCTCCAACAATACATTTCATTACAAAAGATCTCACCTGTTTATGACGACATCTCATTACAACAAGTAACAATATGGAAAAAAAATAATTAAAGGTTTTCCCACAACATATATATATATATATGTATATATGAAGAAAATGAAAAAACTGAATCTATGCAGCTCATAAGGAAACAATTCAGTGTAACACTTTGGATTATTTGTAGAAAACAGGCCTCAGGACACATTAAATGCTTTCCTCTGGACTTGAGGTGTTGTATTATTGGTCCATAGCTATAACAGGTTAACAAGAAACAGAAGAGGTGTCCTGTGCTGGATGGGTGAGTGAGTGAAACAGCATCATGAAACCACACTGCATTAACTAACCACAGAAAACAAAAAAAATAGAAAAACAGCTAATCAGACCTATGTCAACGAACAGGGAGAAAGGTGTTAATAAAAGGATGAACTGGTTGAGCCGCCGTTTCCATTGCCGCGCCCGCTTCTTCTCGAGTTGAGGATATGACCCGGCCGGCTGGCGGGTGGAGTGAGCGGGTGAGCAACGTTGGGGTCGTAGTTGAAGAAGTAGACACTGCAATCCTTGGTGGTCAGCATCAGCTCCAGACTGCTAGGGTGCACGGCCACATTGTGGCATTGGGCTAGCTTGCTGACAGATTCAAATATATTAAGAACCTGCCCGCTTATATCAAAGACGGTGATGTTGAATGTGTTGTGGTTGTCGGTGACCACTACCTGGTTTAGGTAGTTGATGGATACTCCGATCGGGAAGTAAGTGATGCTCTCGTTGCCAATCTTGTACAGGAACTCTGCATCGTAGTTGAAGACTTGTACGCAGTGGCCGCGGTTGTCGCTGATGAAGATCTTACCATCTTTGGCTGCTACATCGTTTGGAAATTCTAGATCCTTAGTGAGGGAATGTGAGACTATAAAGTTACCATCTTGGGAGAACATGACCAACTTCATCACTTTGCATTCCACGACAATGATGGTGCCGTCTTCGTCCACGGTAACACCTCTGGGATGTTGCAGGATGTTTCCGCCAAAACATCGGACAAACTCTCCTTCAATTGTGAAGATCTGGATATCATGGCTTGGAGGACGCTCGGTAGCGATAATATTTTGTGTGATTGGACAAATGGCAACGCGGTTAGGGAAGTACAGGTAGCCTTCTTGTCTGGTGAAGCCCTTGTTTCTGAGTCCGTTATTTCGGTTCTCCGAGTCTTCAGCTACTGGAGGCAAGTTTGGAGGCTGGCCTATGGTGCGTACAAACTCATGCTTGTTGTTGTAGTAGACAATACGGTGGTTGTTGGTGTCGCAGATGACGTAGGATCCATCTTTCAGGTAAGCTTGACCGCTTGGTTCAGTGAACGCGTACTCTGATCTGCCGTACTCACCAAACATGTGAATGTAGGAGGTTTTTGTGCGGCAGCGGTTCAGGTGAGGGATGAACGTGCCATTCTTCCTGTCCCGCTCGCTGACGTTGTTCCAGGTGGAAATAGACATGGAATCTGGGGCAGCGGACCACCTCTGGTAGTTGCAGTCCGGGTTCTCTGAGACGCCTACATTGAAGTCGGACATTGTACGTCCTCGGCTGAACTCATTTCTCTGGCATCCAGGAGTGGGGGAGACCTTCTGCTCTATGTCGTTGACAGTGTAGCTAATGGACATAAAATTCTGATTCAGCACAGTGTGAGACTCCTTGTAGTTGGGATCAAACTTGATGTCTACCTTGATGCCTTCTGTGTCCTTGACTGTGTCAGCATAACCAGCAACGCATCTCTTGTACTCGTTCTCCATGGTAGGGAGCAGCTTGAGCAGGTCCAGTATAGATCCTCCTTCAAGTGTTCTGGAGTTGAAAGATGACACAGCCTCCAGCTCTTGCTCAATGCCGGAGATGATCTTAGCCCATGTGATCACATGACTCTCCATCGCAGCGTGGGTCTTGTCCAGCATCTCTAGAGCAGCCATCCGATTCTGGTCCACAACTGTCTTGCAGTAGTCAGAGTAGTCCTCAATCTGCTTGCGGATGCCCCGCCTCTTGCTGTCCATGGCTTGGAGTATCACAGGCACCTTCTTGGTCATCTCGACGACATCCTTGTGCTTGATGCTGGCATCCTCGTTCCAAGTTTTGAGCCTCTCCACAACAATGTAATAGATCTCGTGGATGTCATGGCTGTTCTTGGGGGACTCGGGGTGGTGGTGGTCACTCACGCACTTGTCGCACATCATCAGCTCGCATGTGCAGCAGTACTTGCTCAGGGGCTCAGTGACGTGCTTCTCACACAGGGGTTTGTAGTCCCCGTCCACGCACTTGCCAATTTTAGTAATAGGCGTGAGGGTGTGGCCTTGGAAGTGGTGTATGGTCTTGTGACCTTCCTTGCACTCTGCGCACAGAAAAGCCATGCAAGTTGTGCAGCAGGTCACAGCCTCCTGATCTCTTGTGCAGCCAGTGCAGCTGAAGGGGAAGGTCTTGAGCTTCTCTCTCATGTACCTGGCGCCTTGGTAGTCCAGGAGAATGCTGCAAGGCCCATCCTTGGCGATGGTTTTGCGAGGGCACTTTGGACAAGATATGGTTTTGTCGGCTGAGCTGTACCTCGAAGCAATGCAGGAGAAGCAGAAGCTGTGCAGGCAATCCAGGGTGTGTGGCCATTTCTTCTGCTTGTTACAGCACTCACACGTGACATGCTTGGCAACAGACTCCGGAAGATTGCTGGCAAACGGCCCGCTTCCGGTTCCTCCTCCGCTCCCTCTCCAAGGCTGCGCAGGTGGCGGTAGACTAAAATCTTGAGAACCAAACGGCTGGAAGCTTCCAGATGGCGCAGAGAAGTAGTCGTTGGTCTGGCGGTTCGGGGAGTAGAACCCAGAAGATCCGCTGAACCCCCCGCTCTGGGATGGTGCGCTGGAGAAGCTGCTGGATGACGAGACACTGCCGAAGCTGGGCACCCCAGCGGTGCCGCTAAAAGCATTCGTTGAGGTGCCGCTAAAGCTACCTTGTCCAGGCGCGCTGTTGAACCCGCTCTGCGACTGTGGTGAGAAGAAGCTGCTGCTCTTGCTGTTCAGACCTTGGCCAGCACCGAAGAAGCCGGTGTTGAACAAGCTGCTGCTGTCGCTCATGAACGGCTGGAATCCAAAGCCTCCAGCGAAAGGGGAGGTGTTTCCGATAGATCCTAAGTCAGAACCAGAGGTGGATGTCATGTTGTCAAAGAAGTTGGGGAGACCCATGTGGTTCAGTTCCTGCTGGACGCTCTGAGTCAGCATGGCAGGGTTGAAGCTGTCGTTGAACAGCCGGCTCACCTCTGGCTCTGTGACTTGTGGAGAAAATGAGCTGCTGATGTTATTGGGGCCAATGATGGGCCGTCCTTGCTCTAGAAGAAAGAATAATTCAAACATTCAATATATATATATATATATATATATATATATATATACGTGTGTGTGTGTGTGTGTGTGTGTGTGTATATGTGTGTATATACATATATATATATGTTTATATATATATATGTTTATATATATATATATATATATATGTTTATATATATATATGTTTATATATATATATATGTTTATATATATATATGTTTATATATATATATGTTTATATATATATATATATATATATATATATATATATATATATATATATATATATATATATATATATATATATATATATATATATATATATATATATATATATATATATACATACACACATATATATATACATACACACGCACACACTGTTGTAAATAGTAAATGTTACAATTTACAACCAAAAAAAAGTCGCTCATCTCACACAACAACAAATTCACACCAAACTACACCACAGTAGCCTAGCCTGTGAAACTCACTGGCAACATTAAGATCTGGAAAGGTGTGAATATCCTGGCTAACTTGTCCAACATTCTGGCCTCCCATAAACAAGCCAAATGGCCCAGAGTCATCCTTTAGCGAGCTTGTAAAATCACCAGATGAAAGTGCGGCCATCTTTCGTTCTAGCTCAATCTGAAGAGACTAGGAAAATTGCATTCATGCCAATTAATTCATTCACTAATGAGAAAGTTGATAGAGGGAAACATTTTACTATAACAGCTGTTATACATGGTCAATTATGTGGTAAAATAAACACCCATTTTACAAAAAATAAAATAGATCTGAATTAATACTTTAGTTGATTAAAATATTCATTACAATATTAAATTACCTACTAGGGCTAATTAGGATTTTTTTTAGATTTTTAAATAAATCAACTATGTGTGTGGTTTGACATATTTTATTTAAAAATTAATTAATAGCAGGTTAATTAGAATTTAAACTTTCTTTTTTAAATGTTAAAAGAATAACACTTAAAATTTTGACATATGAAGAAAAAAGCACTGACACATTTTATTTTGAATCAGCCTGCATTATAAAGGTTACTGATAAGGTCTGGTCTCTTGTGAGACTTCATTATTGTTTTATGAGTATTTACATTTTTTTAATAGTTCTGTGGATTAGGTTATGTGTTGATGGTTGGGTTTGGTGTGGAGGGTTGGGTTAGGTGTGGTGGGTTAGGTTGGGTTATGTGTGGTGGGTTGGGTTAAGTGTGGTGGTTTGGGTTAGGTGTGGTGGGTTATGTGTGGTGGTTTGGGTTAGGTGTGGTGGTCTGGGTTAGGTGTGGTGGTTTGGGTTAGGTGTGTGGGGTTGGGTTAGGTGTGGTGGGTTGGGTTGGGTTGGGTTAGGTGTGGTGGTTTGGGTTAGGTGTGGTGGGTTGGGTTAGGTGTGGTGGGTTGGGTTAGGTGTGGTGGTCTGGGTTAGGTGTGTTGGGTTGGGTTAGGTGTGTTGGGTTGGGTTAGGTGTGTTGGGTTGGGTGTGGTGGGTGTGGTGTGGTGGGTTTGGAGTGGTGGGTTGGGTTAAGTGTCAGAGATAGTGCATGGTGTTAATATTTGCTTTGCCAATTTATTTTCTTTAGTTAGGACGTAAATATATGCAGAAGCTGTTGAACAGAGTAACCAAAACACTAACCAACACAGTAAACTCTGACAAGCTACATTAAGTTACTACATAGGCTTGTTATAGCTTGTGGCATTTTTTAAATAAAAGAATTGTCAAGCTTTGATAATAAAGTCTCAGTCCCATAATGCACTAGTGAACAGTGCAAAAATAAACAACTAGACAGAACCATGTTCTTACCTGTTTTGATTCTGGAAGTTCCTTTTTATCCAGGTGAGGTCCATTAAGAGTGACCGGTGGTTGTATGATGAGTGAAGATGAGTGGTCAAGTGAGTCGGGCACTGAGGAGTGAGACTGTAGGGTGAGAGACAGCCTGCTCTGGGTCTGCTGGCGGGTGGACTCTGTCCCATCAGCGCTGTTGGTGCTGGAGCCCCCGGAGGAGACTGAGGATGAGCGGCTTGTCCGTCTATGCTCACCTATTGCACCATGAAGGTCTGGGGACAAGTGGGAAAATATATTCAATACTGGGGACAATTAGGAAAATATATTCAATTATTGGGGACAATTGGGAAAATATATTCAATTATTGGGGACAATTGGGAAAATATATTCAATTATTGGGGACAATTGGGAAAATATATTCAATTATTGGGGACAATTGGGAAAATATATTCAATTATTGGGGACAATTGGGAAAATATATTCAATTATTGGGGACAATTGGGAAAATATATTCAATTATTGGGGACGATTGGGAAAATATTTTCAAATACTGGGGACAATTAGGAAAATATTTTCAAATACTGGGGACAATTGGGAAAATATTTTCAAATACTGGGGACAATTGGGAAAATATTTTCAAATACTGGGGACAATTAGGAAAATATTTTCAAATACAGGGGACAATTGCGAAAATATATTCTTCTTCTTCTTCTTCTTCTTCTTCGTTCTTAATTATTAGTGTTGAAGGGGATCGAGATTTATCTGCCAGTGGGTTTGAACATGAGACTTTGTTCGAATTTATCAACCATGAGCTTTTTGCAGACTCGACCACGCCTCCAACACAATTAAGCGGTACGTGTCAACTGGTTATGCGCCATTGAGGCCATTGACTCCGATTTCAGCCTGCTTTTCTTTTTTGGATTTGCTTCCATAGCCTTTGTCCAACCAAGAACAAACTACAAGGCAGCAGTTGTTTATTTTTGGAGTTGTCTCTCCTAGAAGAGTGGCTGTCCCCAGCTAACGAGCCTCATCTGCCCGAGGGTTCGAACTCGAGACTTTTCGGTTTAGCAACCATGAGCTTTACCGACTCGACCACGCCGACCCCTAAAATATATTCAATTATTGGGGACAATTAGGAAAATTTATTCAATTATTGGTGACAATTATTCAATTATTGGGGACATTTGGGAAAATTTATTTCAATTATTGGGGACAATTGGGAAAATATATTCAATTATTGGGGACAATTAGGAAAATATATTCAATTATTGGGGACAATTAGGAAAATATATTCAATTATTGGGGACAATTAAGAAAATATATTCAATTATTGGGGACAATTAAGAAAATATATTCAATTATTGGGGACAATTAGGAAAATATATTCAATTATTAGGGACAATATATTCTATTACAGGGTACAATTGGGAAAAATATATTTAATTATTTGAGACGATTGGGAAAATATTTTCAATTATGGAGGACTATTGGGAAAAATGTATTCAATTACTGGGAAAAATTCAGCAAAATATTCTCAATTATTGGGGACAATATATTCAATTACTGGGGACAATTTGGGAATATGCATTCTATTACTGGGAACAATAGAAAAACTGTTGTACTTTACATTCAATTACTGGGAGGAATTATTTTTAAAAAATGGAATTACTGAGAGACAATTGTAAAACCAGAATTACTCTTGAGAAATTAGAAACATTTTAAAAATTGAATTATAGTAAAAACAGTGTAAAAATTGACTGCCAGGAACTATTGGAAAAATACAGTGAATTACTGGGAGCAATTGGAAGGTGTATTAAAACTACAAATTAAAAGTTTTTTTTTTTTTTTTTTTTTTTTTTTAATACATTTTATCCATAATAAAACAGCCATGCCTCTTAAAGAGGCAGACATGTTTAACTAGTTATGTTGATGCAAATGACCTCTACTGTGATACCCTTTGATCACAATATTTGTTTCGTTATTACTTAGTTTTAAACAATGAATAAGGTGTGGGGCAGTTGCAAGCAGTATCAAATTTTGATACTGTCAACATCTACCATGGTATACAACTTTAAACCCATATAGGCTGGAATCAACATCTGGGGAAGGCAGGGTGTGGGTCACCAAGTTCTTCCTGGATTTGCCCCAATGGTCTTTGCCCTATTTGCAAAGCATGCGTTTTTTTTATTTTTAGATTTCTCCCCTAGCTGAGTTGATTTTTAAAGTTAGCTATATTATGTTCTATAGCACAACCATACAAAACCCAAATCTTAAAATGTATTACATATCTTCACATTCAATAACATGAGTTTATTATTGGATAGGCTATACATTTGTAGATTTTCATTTTCAAAAGAAATTAAACTCACAGTAGGATAGTTATTGTGAACTTATAAAATAATTGAAAGCAAGCTAAGGTATCTATTGTGAACTTACTTGCAGATCCTGAATGACTGATTGTCTCATCCATGTCTGGTGGTGAGGACGATGTGGGTGTGGCTGACGACCATGAGGGCCGAGATGTGGCCTGGGTAGCTGGGCTATGTCGTACCATTGCCATCTGATAAAGCGGTGGGGAAGGCGGTGGGGGGCGTACACGTCCACCAAATCCACGGTATCTGTTCTCAGGTCTTAAACCTAGGGAAAGAGAAGACAACTGTTATATCTTAAGTAAAGAAGCCTAAGTGGAATAAAATGTTATGATGATCAAGAATCAAGGGTGTTTCTTCATTTTACAATAGTATAATTTCAATTATTTTCACTCTAAGATGTGTCTTCCACATTTCGAATTATAAAATTGGAAGAAATTAAACAGTAAAATTTTTTTCCTGACATACGTAGGCTACTTCTTGCTAATACCATATTACTCACTAATCCAGACTACAGCCTACATGTCATATCTCATGCTACACATCAGTTGTTTGAAAGAAGAGTTTTCTCTCTTAGAACAAGAGTTATCCCCATCTAACAAGCCTCATCAGCACCTCGGATTCAAACTCAGGTTAGCAGTTAAGCGCTATACTACCCATCCATGATTTACCCTTAAGCTACATCGAATTGCTGTTGTCACAACCACCTTAATTCACCATACAAAAAAATATTTAAGATTAAAGATACCTTGTATTATAATCTAGCACACCAAACTTTATCTCAGGAATTAACTTACATAAGCAGTCAACTACAGCGTATAACCCATTTAAGGCAGTCTATCGTGCAAAACCCATAAGCCAGACTATTATTTCCATAACCCATAAAACTGAAAAATTTACATAACCCCCATAACAATCATCCTCCCATAACCCATTCTCAAACAGATGTCACAGCTAGATTGACCTCATTAATGTAACTGATAAGCAGCCATTCCCAAAAATCATTTAAACAAATATGCATACATTTATAACATATGCACATTGTTTCATTTGGTGAAATAACATTTTTCCAGAATGAACAACTTAGTGAAAATGTATAGCTAAATAACTAACACTAATACATTAAACACCCCTATGTCACATATGCTGCATGATTTATTATTTTCATTGGCAACAGGTTGGCATTCTACATCTTTTCAAAATGGAAGCTTTAGATTTTTACAATTAGTGTCCAGTTCTGGGAAGCTTTAGATTTATACAATTAGTGTCCAGTTCTGGGTTATCTGTGTCTGTATTTTTTTATTAAATTCAAAATCCATTATCAAATGCAGAATTAGTTCATTAGATGATGAAACTATTTTTTTTTTACACTGCAAAGCCCTATTCTAATGTTTAATAATGGGAGAAATTACATTTGTAATTAAACTTATTGAACAGAAACACTAGTTTAAATCTCAAGTAAACAGGAGGAGTATTGACAGAGTTAGCTAAAATGATGAACAGGAACACTAGTTATAATGAGTGGGAAAAACCACTCAAATATGCAAAAAATGAGTTATAATCGCAGGTAAAGATAATCTTAATTAACCCAAAAAAGTTTAGATAAGCTAGAAAAACAAAGCTATTAAACTATCTTGGTAAGACAAAAAAAACTACTACTACAATACTATCTAGTTGCAAGGGAAAAACTTACTGATGTTGTGTATTTAAAATGAAAATAAAACCAGGAAATATTAAGGCCTCATACTTAAAGAAAAACTTTTCATAACAAACAAAAAATTATGTTGAATTTTCTCAGGTTATTTGCATGCATTACACTTCCTGTAATTAGCACAGCTATTTAATCTTTTTTTTTCACATGCCATCTTCTTAAAATCTTCACAGGTATAAATAATTAAAATATAATTAGGAATGATGTAAGGTAAAGCATTTTTAAATTCTATATAATATAAGAAAGAAATATTAAAATCTTCAAATACTTCAATAACTTTTAACAGCTTCCTACTGCCTCACAAACCTCTGTTAAAGCAAATATCCTTGTGCAAACTGAATTGAGAACCAACTCTAATTCACTTGATCTTACCACAAGAGAAATCATTTTCAAAACCTCTATTAATAAAAAAAAAATCTCTCATGAAGACTGGGATCCTTCATACAACTTAAATAAAAAATGTTATAAGCCTACATAGGCTAGGCATCATCCAACACCTTAATCACCACAAGAGCTACTTCTTCCTTCTTGTTACTTAATCCAGGTTTTTAAGGATGCCCCAGGGACTCATTAACCTCATGACAAGCTAATTAAATACACTCTAAATTAAACATAAATCTATCTCATTTCAGCTTTAACTTTTCTATTCTTAATCCCTTCAATTTGATTCAAATTTCGTACCTACTTACATAATAAAAGCCAAGAAGAAGCAGCTGAAGTTTTATTTATTATTAATATTTGAATTTAATATTAAGAGTTTTTCAACAAATGTTTCATACACAAAATTATTTTTGTATGGACAATGTTAAAACTGAAGGAGTTAAAACTATTTACTAAATTAGTATAAAACAGAAAGTAGTAAATTAATTCTTCTTTACACCTAGCAATTTATTGGGGAGATATGGTTCATGTTTTCTTGACCTCTGCTTATGAAGGGATAACGTTGTGAGCACCATGCCCAACCGCAAGCTTAAGTATAAGCAATACTTAGTCTTTGAATCAAAATCGCTCAAGTTGTCTTCTGTTATCAGCTTAACAGGATAGCATAGCAGATGTTAGTAAGAAGAAGACAATATCACCTATTTCACGTTGATTCAACAGGGGAAGTTTTATAAAGGTATACTCATCTTAACTAATTCAGAAATTGACTCAACGTTTAGTATCAATAAGTGAAATACATTTTATTTTAGAACGACTTAGTTTTTACTATCACTAAATTAATAGATATTATTAAATATTCACAGATAAAAGGTTATTGTGATTTATTTTTAAATTTTTTTAACCATATGGAATTTTAGCAGCATCGCTTAAAAAAGTCCAACAGGAAAAACGAAGTTGACTGAAAAGAAACTCAAAAAGAAAACCCACAAACCATAGTAAAGAATACCATAATAAGAAAGCCAGAGATCTAAATTTAAAAGTGACCTCACATCCTTAAGGACAAAGGTCAACAATCCTATAAAAACATAAACACAGAACACATTTGTCAACACATGCACACAGCAGACAACTGGGAGAGCATGATACAAATGAACTTTGTGATGACAAACAAATGTTTAGTAGTGTGAGGTACTGTTGTTGCACTGTTTCATATCTATAAAGGAGAGCTTTAGTCTATGTGATGACAGAGAGCAACAGAGACAACAAGATTGCCATATGTCAACACACTTCATGAAGTACATCTTTAAAATAAACAACTTATTTACAACAAGACCTTCCTGTTGGGGGGGGGGGGGGGAGAGAATCAGATGCGTGGGGGTGACCTGTTATAATCTGTTAAAATGTAAGCCCATTTAATATTAAAAAGGAAACGGCCCTTGAACATTGTTTTTTTTTAACCTGAATCCTCTATTTAAGGAAAGGCAAGGTACAGCAGACAGATCTAATTAACTACTTGTGTTGAAACTGCTTATCTAATTTGACAAGAATTATCTACAACTACTTGAGAAAGAGGGGAGTGGATAGAGAACAAATGTCAGACAGAAATAGAAAAGGGATAATTCAACATCACACTTTTACAGTTATTTTTAGTAGCTGAAACGGGTATTCTATAATCCAAGAATAAATATGAATAGGAAAGCACAAACCCACTTAACTAACAGAGCTAATGTGACCTTTTTAAGCACAGCTATTATTTTATTGAAAACAAATACCAGACATAGTTAAAATAGATACTGTTTGAAGAATGACTTGCCTGATTAACAGTTACAAGCAGAACCAAAATATTTCTAGTGATTGAATTGCAAAATAAATGACTTTAACACTGCATTTTTAATTGATAAACCTATACAAGATATATATACATAAAATGTTGCCAATAGGGAGCAATGTCAGGAGAAAAATGAAAGGAATGTTAGTCCCTTTATGTTTCAGTATCTACTGCATACAAGTATTCACTGGAGGGTAAGTTTATGTACCTCCACACAACAAAACATATAAAACAATGTTTTAAAATTCCTACATGGTTGTATATTATCTCAGTAAAAACTATCATTTCCTTTAAGGGCCAGCTTCTAAAGATAGTGTATAAAAGATAGCTTTTAACAGCAGATAAGCTTGTAGAAAAAAATATTTTTTTTGTTTAAAAGTGCATCTGCGACACAAGTCATCAGTCTTGATTATTAGGCAAGCTGGACGGACTTGGGAATATTACAAGGATCCCAGCTTAAGTTTTAAACCTGAAACCCCAGTCTGTTCAATAATGTAATCATACACTTTTTTGTGTATTAGCTTGTAGGTAAACTTGAACCCAGTTTAGACATGAAGCCTTTGTCTACATTTGAACCTGAACCCCAGTACATTAACCAGTGACATTATCATTCACCTTTTGTGTAGCGGGGTTAGATTACTATGAAAGTTTATTAAGCAAGGCTCCTCTTTCACTTCAGGCAGATGAAGTAGAATTCAAGTTTGTTGAATTACGCATACATACAGTGGTAGGCACTGTGAAAGAGTATTACTGCTACTAAATTGTAACCTTAATCATTCTGCAATCTATATGGTATTTTTGTTTACATGACAAGAATAAAACTAGTGGTAAAGGTTAAAAAAAACACATTATTGATGAAGTATGACAAATGTTTGAATGAACAGGATTATTTCTTGACACTGAGATACACTATACGGAGAGAACAAACACCTTCAAAGTTCACAGGTGGTTGTCCTACCTACAATTTCACTACCTGGATGTAGGCATTTATCTGTGGCCTTTACATTAGGGTCACATTGGGGTAGAAGGGTCACCTAACATCCTGAGTTTATTATTCACAAATTCTTCCACCCAGCTCTGGTTACCATACAGAGACACACACGCTGGGTTTAAAATATGTTGCACTCTATGACCCAACTTGACAACTAGTTAGATCTTAAATTTTTTGTATCCACCTCATACAACTTATGGTAAAGTTAGCATTTAGAAAACCTGCTTTATTTTGTCTTTATATGTTGTTTTATTATTATACAAAAACAACGCAACATTTCAAAAGAATGGGTTTAGACCATTGTTCACATCTTGTTAAATAAACAAATTACTTATATTTTGTATAATAGATCTGGAT